TGCCACAGACTCGCTGTCCGACTCGCCCTCGTCCGAAGAGTACTCGCCGAGATCCACTGTTGTCTTTGCCTCCCCGACCAACCGATCAAGGTCCAGCCCCACGCCCCGGGACTGCATGAGAGACGACAGGTGAGGGGTAGCGGGCGAGCCCATGAACGAAGTATGACTCGAAGTGGCAGCGGCAGCAGGTGTGCCACGGTGGTTTTCCAACTGGGGACGGGCAGCCGCACGAGGAGTTTCCACCCCGGTCGATGCCCGTCGACTCGGGCAGGATCGCTTCCGGGGACTTGCGTTACCGCCCGCGGCTTCAGACGCTGAGGACGACGGTGTTTTAGATGATGGCTCAATGCCATGTGCAGTTCGAATCAGCGGGTGGACGAACCCGCCGGTGCCTGCTGTACTGGAGCTCTCCACCCGGCCGCCAACAACGGCGCCAGCCTCGTCGACTTCAACGGGCTTGCCAGACTCCATCGCCGCTGCATCATGGCTGGTGTAGTTCCGACTATGTGCAATGCGACAATGGTTGATGAATCCTTGGGTGCTGGAGAAATTGTCCCGACCGCAGTCCAGACACACCAGCTTGACAAGTACATTATCCGACTTTCGTCGAATAAGCATGGGACCAGCCTTGTCCTTGGGTGCTGGGTAGCCGTTGGGCAGAGCCTGGAGCTTAGCACTTGCCGAGCCGCGCTGAGGCCGTGTCTTGCCAGCCAGCGAGCCCAGATCGCCCGAACTCCCCCGCGTCGTGCGGCCTTCCATGAGAGGTAACCCACTGAGAGGAGTATCGGGCTCAAATTCGCCACCGTCGAATCGAGGATCCGGTAGGAGCCATCTAGAGTAGTGGCGCGAGTAGGGACCCTCCACGACACCCCATGGCGCGGGCGACTGCGGCGCAGGTCCATTTTCAGGAGCCCAGACCGCGACACCCGTACCATTGCTGACCGACTGCGAATAGCCCGCCACCCTGGATCCCGGATATGGTATCTCGGCACATCGACGGAGTTGTTCCAGCGCGACCTGGCATTTGGCAATTTCTTGATCGATCAGCCTGAGCTCATTGTGTTTCAACAACACCTCCAGACTCAGCTGCGCTTCAAGGGTCTCGCGTAGCGTGTCCGCGTCGATCTTTGGGGAAGTGCCGTCCTGCTGCGTTATCTCCGAGACATTTGTAATCGCGCTTTGACCAGATTGCGACGGATGTGACGACTCCGAGATCGGCTGGGCGCGACCGTCCGGCCCAGCTTGGTGCGACACCGTCACGGCGCTGGTGGCAGGTAGGGAAGGGTCTTGCTGAAGGCTGACGGGTTTTGAGGGCCCATCGTCGGCGCGCAGCTTGGTTGCGACCGGGGCATCTCGAGCGGGGGCGGAATCGCTAGAATCAGAGCGCTTGCGCTTCAACTGCGGTAATGGCAGGCCACTGACGCCCGAGGCGGCGCAGTGCGGCGAGGTCGAGAGCATTTTAAGCTCCTCGGCCATCACCTTGTTGCCCCCGATAGCAGAGGACCAAGGAAGCAGGCGAAACATGCCATGCGAGGTTGAGCGCGGAAGAATGTAGAGAGGCGGATCTGCGCAAATGCGACGGGAATGCGACAAGTTAGAGGCGCCACGTAAGAAGCACGGTACAGTCGAAAGTTGTTTGCCACGCAGACCCCATGCACCTGTGCATGCAAATGCGATCTAAATCCGGGGGGGGGGGAGAATGATGGAGTAAAATGAAGGGAAGAGAGGAGCAGGCAACGAGGGAATGAAGGTTGCCGCCGATCGGTCAGACGTCGTTGTTTGCGACCGGTGGGAACCCAGCAAGGGGGAGAAAGGAAACACGGGGGGAGCCCCAACAAGAAACGGATAGCCGGAGCTCCGACAGTGAAAGCATGCAACAAGGCTGCTGCGTGAAGACGTAAGATTATTGGATCAGACTGGGGGAAGGGAGTTGGAAGGGCAACTAGGATTGGTCGAAAAAGGAAGAGGGATATTGATGATAAGAGTCCGCGCTGTCTGGATCCCCAAGTATGACCAGATTAAGTTGGGGAGGGGAAGGAAGGAACAGGACAGGAGAGAGCGACCAAAAAGCAGTCGAACAAAGACCAGCAAGAATAATAAAGACCGGTCGGAGTTCTGGAAGACACAGCGTCCAAACTATCAAGCAGAACCTAAAGAGGAACCTCCTTCCCAGGCAGGTCACATGCACGCCGGGAAGGGGAAGCCAGCTGAAGCGGATCCACGGCTAGGCAAAGTAGTAGTAGCAGCAGTAGTAGTGATTGATGGGTGGTAGAAGTAAGAGGGCAACCCTTCCCAGTTCCCACGGGATGGTAATGGTAAGTAGGTTGGGCGGTGGCGTAATCTATTAATAATAACCAGTGGTAGATACTAGTTATTCTAGTGTGGGTGTGGATAGTAAAGTAGTTCGAGTGGAATGAATAGATAGCACCCGAAGCTAGTAGTAGTAGGTAGTCAAACCCAAGAGAGGGAGAAATCGAGAGGAGTGTGTTGTAGAAAGAGAGAGGGAGAGTACGGTTGGGAGAAAGAGAGGAAAGAGGAAGAAAGAATGGGTGGGTGGGAGAGAGAGAGAGAGAGAGAGAGGAGTACCAAGGGAGACGAAGGAAGGCGGACGTTGTCGGGTTAGAAAACGGTTGTGGTAATAGTAGTCAGAATAATAATCATAATCTTGAATAATTATGTTGATGTTGATGTTGGTGGTGGTGTTGTTCAGGTCAACCTAGAGGGAAAATACCGTTAAGAAAAAGGCGACTATTGGGAGATAATTAGGAACCCGATGAGAGGGGAATTTCAATACTTACGGAAGTCCGACCAGGGACCAAACCGGTTTGAGAGGCGAAAAAAGGTTAATTGGGAAGATGAAGGATTTTGGTTGAGTGGAAAGGGTAAGTAGGGAAAAGAAGTTGGGAGAAGAAGGAAGAACCCGGGATACGAGAGTGGAGGAAGTATTCAAGGGAGGGAGGCAGAAGAGGGTGGTGGTGGTGGTGGTGGTGGTGGTGGTGGTTTAGTCAGTCAGTCAGTTCAACTGGAGGGGGGTGAAAAGAGAGAAAGAGAGATGGGATTAGTTAGTTATTCTCTCATGATTACAATATGTGAGTGTGAGTGACTACTTGTGACAGGGGAGGAAAACCGGGCGACAAAAGGACCATCCAAAAGCGAGATGCAGTACTAGAGTAGTACATACATACATACATACAGTACTACAGCTGCTGCTATTATTGATGGAGGAGGATGACACGTCGAATCACTGCCTGAACGAGTGGAGCCCATGATGTGATGCCGGGCCTGGACTGGGCCATGGATGCCCGGGGTATTGGCCGCGCTAACATCCGCTCTAGCAGGGGTCTTTTGCCGCCCACAAAGTACCATACATACACCCATACACCCATACATACAGCGGGCGGGTTTCTATTCTTTCCAATTCCTACCCATACCCGTACTGGTATGAAAACCTCCGTCTCGTTACATTGCTGCATCTACCCGGTCAAGTACCCTCCGTCTGAAAGTTGAGACACTTCCAGGTAGATTAAACACACACTATTGTACTCCCCAACTGCCCTAGTTATAACATGGATTCTCGCCTTCCTCTCTCCCCCAATCTGCTGGCTATGTTTGCCATGGAAGACATCCATTTAAAACCCTGTGACACTCCCAGTCAGACATTTAGGCTACCACCACCACTACTCTGCACTGCCCACCGATGCCAATTCGCTCATGACAACTCGTAGTTCCATGGATCTGTTCCTCAACCACCCGATTTTAGGTTCACTACACATGGGCATTGTTCCCTTCCCACTATCTGGCTCTCGCTCGCTCTCGCACCGTCAGTCTTTCACTCCTTTTCCACCAGCAGATCAGACCCGGGATCGGCGGTTGAGCAAGGCTCGTTACATCATCCACTCGCGTCCTCGTCTGCCTATCATCTCCACCAGCCACAGCATAGCTTGCGATTGAGTTCACGCCAGCACTGCTTCATGGCACGCTTGCTCGTTGGTTCTCCACCCCCAGACGCCCCCTAAGGGATTCCTGCCAGAGGAGGGGCACTCAATACGAAGTCGCTCCCACAATAGGGGAATCATCACAATGTGCCACCGTCTATATCACAGATTTTAATGCCTGAGGCCGACAGCTTCCTACACTTTCGCATCCAACATGGCCTGTCGCTTCATCCTCATTGCTGGGTTGCCGTTGACTAGCCTCGCAATGACCGACAGAGAAAGCCGATTTTCAACCCTGCCCTCCAAGCACTCAAGCGGTTGACTGTCCTAGAAGATGCGCTGGCAGTGGGCTTCCCATATTCTTTCCTGGAGAATCATGGCTGACGGCTTAGAGGCTCGAGGCGTTGGGTGCTCCCGATTTATAACCACGGTAATCTCTTGGCCTCAGGTGCCTCTGCCGTCGGGACACCCGAGAATCTCACATCTCATCGGACCTCATTATCCCGAGGCATGGAATTTCCGAGTCATCCTCCAAAGGGGATGATTTTGAACATGTTGATCCTCATCTTAGCGGGAGGGGGCCGTTGTTCGGATGTTTCTCAGGTGCCGACTGCAGAAAAGATTCCCTACGCCTATTTCCCCACACCCCGCACTACGCTCAAATTAATTCGTCATGCGGGAATTTTTGCGCGCCGGTGTCTACTGTTTGTAGCTAGTGAAGACTATCTTCATGGCTCATTTAACCGGCGCTCGCTGATATTGCTGTATTCGGTCTTTAGGTCAAATGACGGACGAGCTTGGCCATATTGAGCTTCTCGGATGGCCCGACTTGGGACCTTGGCTTCCCTCGTCGTCGAATAACCTTTTGGCTCAGTGCTAAGCATCCTTCAACTCAGAGCTAGGTAAAGAATGGCTCGTCGGGTTATCCAGATGTCTCGGTCCGGGACAGAGGCCATGTGCCGGCAGCACAAGCATGGACGAGATATAAGAAGTGCTGGAAGTATGCCGACAAATGAAGCTATACCCCCGGTCCACACCATCTGTCTCCTCTGATACTTGCGCCCAATGTACAATCTACTAGGGTACCTCGCTGCGCTGGGCTGCGCGCAGTCCGCCCTCGCAGCCCCCCTCGCCAGCTCTTCAAACTCCTCCTACATCGACTGGCGCACCTTCAAAGGCAACGGCGTCAACCTCGGCGGCTGGCTCGTGCAAGAGTCCACAATAGACAGTTACTTCTGGGACAAATACTCCGGCGGCGCCTCCGACGAATGGGGCCTCTGCGAACACCTCGGCGCCCAATGCGGTCCCGTCCTCGAGCACCGCTACGCGACCTGGATCACCAAGGCCGACATCGACAAGCTCGCGTCCGCCGGCATCACAGTGCTGCGCATTCCCACAACCTACGCCGCATGGATCGACCTCCCCAGCTCGCAACTCTACTCCGGTAACCAAACGGCCTACCTCCGAGAAATCGCCGACTACGCCATCAACACCTACAACATGCACATCGTGATCGACACACACTCCCTCCCCGGCGGCGTGAACGGCCTGACCATCGGCGAAGCCACCGGTCACTGGTACTGGTTCTACAACGAGACCAACTTCAACTACTCGTTGCAAGTAATCGACCAAGTGATCAACTTCATCCAAACCTCGGGATCCCCACAATCCTACACCCTCGAACCCATCAGCGAACCCGCGGACAACAACACCAACATGGTCGTCTTCGGCACGCCCCTCGCCCTGACGGACCACGGCGCCGCCTGGGTGCTCAAGTACATCCGGGCCGTCATCCAAAAAGTCGCCTCGGTGAACCCCAACATCCCCGTCATGTTCCAGGGCAGCTTCAAGTACCCACAATACTGGGAGGGAGATTTCCCCGCGAGCACGAACCTCGTCTTCGACACACACCACTATTACTACGAGCATATGGAGTCGTCGTCGGCGAATCTGCCCGAGTATATTCTTGCGGATGCGCGGGAGAAGTCCGGCACGGGCAAATTCCCTGTGTTTGTGGGCGAGTGGGCCATCCAGTCGACGTATAATAATACGCTGGCGTTGAGGAAGAGGAATGTGTTGGCGGGGTTGGATATTTGGCAGAATTATTCCCAGGGGAGTGCGTATTGGACGGCCAAGTTTACGGGGAATACGAGTGTAGATGGGCAGGGGGAGCAGAAGGATTATTGGTGTTATGAGACGTTTATTGACGAGGGGTATTTTAGTTGAGCTGCTGCTGCTGCAGCTGCAGCAGCAATTGTTTAGTTGTATGATTGATTGATTGATTGTGATGTGTAAATAGGTATAAACTATGAAGGAGATGGATGTGCTCATGAGTGGGTACTATTGATGACTTTTGACAAACAAACTAGTTAAAAACACAGTCTAGACTCGTAGGAGGAAAAGAATGCTCAATACTACTAACAAAACCAGCATGAAACAGTACATAATCATCTTCCTTCAATTCCCTCCCCCAACAACTCATCCATTGACACAATCATACCCGAGATCATTCATTCCCACATACTCAATCCCACCACCCACACAAAATACATATAAACCAGCGACCAGCACCGATCAATACCTTTCCTTCCCCATCACACAAACACCCAATCCCTATACCCATACCCTCGACACACAGACAAAAATCAGCTAATGAAAGAAGAAACGAATCACTCAACCATCCTGAGCACAAAATTCACCACGACGGCCGCCAAAAGCGCCATAGCGAGGATCGTCGGCCCGAAGCGATCATCAATTCCACTCTGGCCTCGTTTGCGAATACTCTGCGCGCGCCAGTGGAAGGTCACCAGCGCATAGATCATGGCGGCCATGGCGATGACGGTGAACAGACCGGCGGAGATGCGGCCGATGCGGTCACCGAAGTTCAGCAGACCGACGGCGAGACCGCCTAGGATGACGGTGAAGTTCAGCCATGAGAGGAAGGTGCGCTCGTTGGCGAAGAAGACTTTGGGTTCGACGCGCGTGGGGAGGGCGATTCTTTTTCCTATATTTTTCTTGGTTAGTTTTGAGTGGGGGGGTGAGGATGGGAGAGGAAAGAATTGAAGGGGGTGGGGGATTGAGGGAGGGAGGGGGGGATTAATTACCTGGGGCGGTTTGGAGGAGTGGTTGGGAGGACATTTTTATTGTGAGATGGTGTGGTTGTGAGAGGATAGTAGCAAGGGAGAAAGAGGAGGAGGAAGAAGAGGAGAGGGGATAAGAGCTAAGCTAGTTGAGGAGCTGCAGCAGGTCGTGTGACTTGTTTCTTTTCTTGTCTGGGAGAGAAAAAAGATAAGAGAGTAGGAGATAGGTAGAAGACAGAGAGAGAGAAGGGAGAAAAAGAAAAGAGACAGAGAGGCAGAAAGAGAAGAGAATTCTGCACGGAGTAACTAATTGTAGTGGTGGTGATAAGACGCCAAACTAACGTTAGATTAGTTAGTTGAGTTACAGTAGTTCTCTAAAGGGGAGAGAGAGAGAGACAAGAGGAAAGAGAGATTTAAGCTCCGGGGGGATTGATGTAATAGCCATGATTGGTACTGGACAGTAAAAAACAGCAACTGGATCGAGACGAGCTACTCACTTTCCCCGCTTGACGCCCGACACTTTGCCCGCTTCGGGTTTAGTGTAACGCGCCGCGGCTGTTTCTGCTGCTCTTCACCGCTGGGTAGCGCGCACGTGCCGCAGTCTGTTGTTGTGATTGCCCGGTTGGACCCGCCGGTGCCGATTGGTCTGGGGTCTACTTTACTACTAGTATGAATGTATGATAGCCTGCGGTTAAGGGGGAGCGGAAGTCCTAGGACGCAGACAAGAGAGATCATGGATCTACCGTGCAGCGGAAGTCTTTTCCTGCAGTCTTCTCTTGACTTGTTCAGCCTGATGCAGTGGGTTGTCAGGATCTAGTGCGGTGGAGTGTGCAGCACTCAAGAACCGTTGTGATCTGATTTATTTTAGTTCTAAGCAAGGCACGGTGTGCTTTGTAAGTGGGATACTTGGAGTTTCCTGCATGTATCTGAGCATACGTGAGGTTTGGGGGCCGCAGGAGCTGCGGGTGCTGATGGCGCTGTTGACTTTGTTGGTAACCATTAACTTGAAGGTGAATGCTTGAGATATCCACAGCATCTGTGAGAAGGTAGGTATTTATAGCAATCAAAGGAGAGGTCTTTGGAGGATCCTTGGTCAGTCAATGAGAGGCTATTTTTGATGGGTCTGTATACAGTGCTTGAGAACTATCAAGACACTGTGAAGGATGATATGTGACGAACGCACTTTGGCTGCTCAAACACTAACTGAGTTATCTGTGTTTTCTAGAATCTCACTAAAGTTAACATGTCTGTAAGTCATGAAGCGTATATATTACAGTGGTTTGATCAAACCGAGTCCAATGTATGAAAGAAGGTGCAAGTTCACTGTTGCCGCAAATGAATAGATCAGTATTTATGCACATTCCCCACCCTTGGGAGTGCTAAGCACGAACATTTCCCCGTGATGTTCGACGCATCATGCTTCCCAGTATGTGAACTACTCCAATTGAGCTCGCATTTGACCGTGGCCAAGGAGATCGGCGGCTAGAAGATTGGCTAGACTTCTGAAGTTCAGATCCTCCTATCTGGGGTACGTGTACAACTAACCTTGAGCGAGGCTTTGTAGAATATATATAGTATAAATTTGCATTTTACCTCTATTGGCAGAGGTCTCATGTGAAGTATTTCGAGCAAGGGTCGACGTAATTGGAGTAGGAAGGTCGAGTTGGAGTAGGATGTTGATAAGGTCCGTTAGTTGGAGAAGGTTACAGCTTGAGTGGTTGGAGTAGATACCATGCTGCGTGCAGCCTTATACAACTATAATCACTGCCGGATATATGATTAACTACCTAAATTATGCAATAAACAAATGCACATATGGGTTAGAGAATATATCTAGTGGTGCGGGTATGCGTCGGGTCTCATTGAATATCAGGATCTATATCATCAGTACAAGATTATGGACTCGATAAATCCAGACAATTTTGATTCCAACTAAACAAAGAGCAAAATTATAGAGCTGCTACTGTGATTAAAGAAATGTTAGTAATATTACTGCAACTAGTGCTTGTTATGCATAGTACATCCAGTAAAGCACCTATTTTTGGCGTTATGTCCATCTAGACAATGACTTTATCCTGCCTATTAACCACAATAATAATATTGTTATATAGTTACTCCGACTGATGCCATTGAGGGTACCAGGGACCCGATTCGAAGACATTACGATCCGATGATACTTATCACACCGGCTCCAATTATGGCTCAATTCTAATGTCTCCAATTGTAACTCCCGGGATGTAAGGCCGCGGCTCCATTAACGTTTTCAGCAACAAGACAGTGGAGAACCTAAAAAGCATTATTAAGCCCTGCCATAGTAGTAGATCAATCAATCTTGATTAATAAACCAAAGCATCATTCGAACAATAATTTGACTATAAAGGCACATACCCTCTATCCAAAATTCATCAACATGCAAACATTTCTGAAAAGGTCTCTATCCACAATGACCAAACCTCTACTCCTCCACGCCCACGCCACAGGCCCCAACCCCATCAAGATCGCAATCGCTCTCGAATCCCTTAAAGTTCCATATGACGTCCAACAGTGGGAGTTTGGCGACGACCCCAAAAAGGGCGTCAAAGGCGAGGCATACTTGAAGATCAACGAGAATGGCCGGCTTCCCTCACTCCAGGACCCAAACACCGGCGTTGTGGCCTGGGAATCCGGCGCATGTATGAACTACATCCGCCGAGTGTATGACCGCGAAGGGAAGCTAGGTCCTGCCGGTAAGGAAGAGCAGGATGTTGTCGACTTGGAGAAATGGGAGTATTTCCTACTCACCAATTTGGCGCCTATGTTGGGTCAGGTCAATTGGTTCAGGTATTTCTGCCTACCGAAATAGTAGAAAAATTAACAACCAAAATTGTTCTATGCTAATGTCATATTAAGAAACTACCATGAGGTGAAGAACCAGGATGCGCTGGATAGATACTCAGCGCAGGTCTATCGCTGCTTCGGGGTGTTGGAGGGGCAGTTGAAGAAATCGAATGGAGAGAGTATTCTGCCCGAAAAGATTACCGCCGTGGATTATCATGCGGAGCCCTGGGTCAGGCAGTATACTTTTGCGGGTCTGTCTTTGGATTCCTATCCCCTGCTTCAGCGTTGGCTGGCTGGGATGGCTAAGCTGGAGGAGGTGAAGAGAGGGTATGTGAAGGTTAAGGGACAGGGCCCGGAGTAGGACTGAACTTATCATAGCTAGAGAGATGCGTTAATATGTGGAACAAGCTTTTTCTAGGTAGGATAACAGTATCTGAAACCAGTTATTTGACAGGAGCACTTTCTAGTGCATATATAGTATTATGTACCGCAAATATCGCAATCCAAGGGATATCACTCAAAAAAGTATTCTCATAACCCATCAAACCACCTCCTAGAATTCAACAATCCCATAAAGACGTGTGACATCCTCACACAGCCTCTCAAGACTGAACTCCTTATAATAATCCCTTGAACCCACCGGCAGTCGCTGTAAAAGGGACAATTTGATGGTCAGTTCAATCAGCTGAATTATCTCCGAGATCTTCTGCGGAGTGGTATTTGGTCGATATGCATCTCGATAAGGCTCTAAAAGGCCTTCAATCTCGGACCTGTCGCAGACCTTGTTACACATATCGAATCGTTGCTCGAGAAGCGGAAAGAGTTCGTCTTTCTCGATTGAATACATCTTGTCTCGGTATCTGAGATATTCCTTCCTGCGGGTGACTTGTTTTTCACTCAGGGTCGGTGACATGTTGAAGACTGCAGAATGCTAGTGGGCTGTTTGAGGGGGTGTAGATTGGTTATAGTTGTGTGTGGGTTTGTGTGTATGCTCGGTAGGGCTTTAGTTGTGGTTTCCGTATCTCTGCTGGGTTGTGAGGTTCGATTGAATACTCAGGAGATTGAACCTTCTACATCTATGTCTATATAGACTGCCAGATAGGCATCGAAACAAAGAATCTGGTGAAAGAAGACATGCATCCTATTGGCGTTGTTCAGCCAAAGTTTGCTGTGGTGAAAGTACTACTATTGTCTTCACGATAATGTAGATATTCAAGGCAACTAACTGCATCCTATAATGTAAAGTATTATCGAGTATCGAAAGGTGCTCCGCTTAACGGTGATTCACGGAATCATTTAACGGGGCCGTATAGAAAGTGAATATGTTCATCTCGATAGATACATATAGCAGAGATAAAAGTAGAACTCTTAATTTTCGGTTCGTTCCAAGCACTGTGGGCAGCTTTCATGGCAACATCCTCCACGGAATACCAAGCATTGTTGGTCAATGGTTTAGTTGTACAAAGGAATTCAGGACATAAAGAAGCCTATCAGACCGACATGGAGTTTATACGATTCTATCCAAGAAAACAAACATAATTTCAGTGTACCAGCCAAGTACACAACGTGACACTGGAATCAGAACAGATACTGTAGTAAGTTTAATATGTTCATTGGGTGGGAGGTTACGTTGCTCAATAACGCTAACCACAGCATAGTGTATATACGATCCCTACCAACCAAGGTATGAGCCACACCCCAAAGCCAAGATACAGCTATGCAAAGGCAACTTCCGCTTCATATCCAGCGCGATGCTTGCTTAATGCCAGGAAACAAATGAACAATCCGAACCCCTCCAAGGCTTGATGGACCAAGGCACATAAATAGGGACTGGTCATCTCCGTATCCAATCTGTCTGACACTGACCTAGGACTCTCCACTCATCTTCTACTCCTGAGAAATCCCAATCAATTCACACCATGTCCGATACATACACCGGCTATGACGAGTGCGGATGCAGTTTGGCGGAGCAATCGATGCGCCGGCATTTCAACCCCATACGATTTATCCGCGGCTCGCGAGCAGGAGGCGTATGGGCAATCGGCACCGATTTGATTTTGAAAGCACACCCCAAATTCGAAGAATCTCTGGAAAACGAACGTCAAGCGCTGCAGCTACTTGTAGCCCATCCCCATATCCCAGCACCAAAAGCTGACCGTAACTGGGTCGATCAACATGGGAACCACTTCTCGATGCAGACACAACTGGACGGTGAGACACTCGAGAATGCCTGGCCGCGATTGTCGAAGGACCAAAAGGCCACTATCGCAGACCAGGTGGCCGACGTGTGCAAGCAACTACAGTCCATCACATCGCCGAGTATACAAGGCATTGATGGAGGAGCCTGTCCATTAGATATGGTATTTGATGATGGTGAGCTCCAGGGACCATTCCACTCAGACTCTGAGTTTCGGGATGCCATCAGCCGTGAACTATCGTCTTCATTATTTTCGAATAAAAAGGATGAATTGATGAAGCATTTCCCTGTATGCGGCCCTTATGTCCTCACGCATGGCGACCTTAATATCTCCAATATTATGGTCAAAGATGGTCAGCTCGTTGGAATCATTGATTGGGAATTTGCAGCTTTTTATCCCATATGGTATGAGTATCTTAGAATTGCGTGTGGTTCTACTGGTAAAGACGCTGAATGGAGAGAGTTGTTGCGACAGCGTCTGGATAGCCATGAAGATGCCAAAAGTTTCCTGAAGGAACTGCGTAACTTGCAATGGTATAATCGCTTTGGGGACTGAGTTGAGAAAGTTTTCTTGATGGATTATATGCAGAGTCTTGACGGATATTCTTCTATACTTTATAGAATGTGCAAATGAAGCTGGAATCAGTCATGAATAGAATGATGGTTTTCATAATCTAAGAAGCAGAAGCGACTCTGCAGCACCTATAGTGGTGTATCGGTGAATAGCCGGGTGTAGGTTTGAAACAGTGGCCTTCTAAGAAAGAGTGTCTGCAGGGTGAATATGTACTAACCATGCCATGTATCTCAATTGTAGGACGCAGAAGGCTGGAGTTCAATTTAATTGTATAGTCTGGCTATTGTAGGCAGATGGCAGTTGATGAGCTAATCCCAACCAAGTAATCAGCTAGTCCGGTCTTGGACCGGACACTAACCCCTCCCAGCCTAGCCTTGTATTCATCCTGGCCAATCAAGAAGCGCAAAGCGACAGCCATGATGCCAGTCGACGGCGAGCCCCCAAACATTCATTCTTCAGCACCAGCCCGCTAGCTGTTCTTTCGCTGCTGTCGCACTCGCCTTGACACTTCCGCGCATACCAGCATAGCATAGCATCTTGCATTGAGTGAGTGGCCATCTTATCCGTCAATTCCATCAGCCCGTGTTGCTTGGTTCGCCGGCCCCGGAGCCGCATTGTCTGTCCTTCCCCCCACAATCGCATCTCCAGCATCCCATGGTTATCGACACTTCCCCGACGAACATCCCCTATCTACAACCAGACCCGCGCGAATTTCACTAACCGCTAGCCTTCAAGTCTCACGCAAAACATATCTTACACCAAATCCAACTCTTTCATTCACAATGGCCGTCGACGCTGCTACCCCCTCTTCGGTGTGTCACCACCCTCCCCGTGCAATGATCGTACCTGGATAGCCCGCAATCCGAACGTCATCCGACCCCTCTCGCGTCCCTATCCAGACGGACAACTCGTTACATTATACTTACTATTCGACTCGCTTAGCCCGTTCCGATCCCCGAATTGACCAAGATCGCCACCGAGGTGCGTTCACCCATACCTTACATTCATGACCTCCCACTTCCACCGACAACCCCACTACACGTCTCTCCCTATGTCAATACTAACTACCAATCTCCCCCCGATATAGGCCTGCGACACCGCCCTCAAAGATGTGACCGAATACGAACACACCAAAGTCGGCGACTGGAACTCTCAAATCATTGTACCTACTACCCCCACCCCTACAACTACCCCCTCCAACATCAACCTAACCACTTACTCCAATCCAACAGAACACCATTCTGAAAGCCCTCATCACTGCCACCGCCCCCTCTACTCCCTCGACCGCCCCTCCCTACCGCTTCACCGTGAACAGCACCATCGTGCAACAAGGCCTCATCGACAAGTCCGCCGCCGCTGACGGCGCGACCAGCAACACCGGCAAGCGTGGGATGCACTCTGCGTCCGGAGCTTTCTGGGATGTGAACCGCGATGGTATGTGGACGTTCAAGTATCCAGGCGCTGAGGAACGGGGTCTGGATGTTGTTGTTAGTGTGACGTGGTTTGCGCTGGGTTAGGAGGGTTATCAGTTTTCTATTTTTCTTGCTGGAGATGGATGGGTTGGGGAATTTCTTTCCATATAGAGTAATGAATTGAAGGGGAGTTTTCTGAAGTCCTTTGGTTATTTTGTTCTTTTTCTTTCTATGTGGTTGGTTTATTGTATGGAATGAAGGGAGGTATTTGATGCGACTTGGTGGGTGGCTTTCTGTTTCGGGATTTCTTGCTCATTGGATTGTGTGTAGCAAATAGCCAGTTGGTGTCAGTTCTTTATACGATGGGTGGACTTTGTCATTCTAATTGATATTTCGTATATACTACAAGTTGGCGAAGAAAGGAACTTACCGGGTACGCAAACAGCTATCAAGGTATATAAAGCGACTGGAATCCCCTACAGTGGATAGTTATTTTCTCCTTCCCCAAATTTCTAACAGTCCTTGAACTACTAACTATTTGTTGCTGCTTATGTCATGGTGGTTTCTAGACTCTCACAGAGTCCCCGCCCCCCGCCGGCATGATATAATGAGTCACTCTCCCATAAGCATGGGACATGGAAGCATCGGACACACTGCATATCATGCTTTTCCCCTCATGAGTCGTCTTTTTTGGGAGTTCATCCAGAGAAGAGGCCCCTGTGGCGCAATCGGTAGCGCGTAAGACTTCTACGACATGGTCATCTTAAGGCTGTGGGTTCGAGCCCCACCAGGGGCTTTTTTTTATGCTTCAGCATCCGAAGGCTACTACTCTACGACGGAGTACACCTACGAAGTACAAAAGTATGTTGTCAGAACCCGCTCCTGGAGTGTTTCGGAGTCAATCCTTCGCATTAAATGCCGCTCGACGATCCGAATGAAAGAATACAGTTCCGAGTCAACAGACTCAGACTGTGCATTCCTTCCTCCTTATAATCTTTATTTTGCTAGGTTCATGTGAAATTGTGAATTCCCCACATATGAGTCTCATTTGATTTCACTTCATGTCTTTCAATCACAATGAAAGGCATCTTACACATGCTATTTATGCAACCTCAAGTGATAAATACCACAACAACAGACTTAAGATACACTAAGTGGGCCTGTCATTCACCAAGGAGGCCCCTGTGGCGCAATCGGTAGCGCGTAAGACTTCTACGATATAGTCATCTTAAGGCTGTGGGTTCGAGCCCCACCAGGGGCTATTTTTTGCCTTAAATTTTTTCCTGTTCCTGCCTGACGTAGGGTACTACCGTCTATTTCACTTGATTGTGAGCGTTTGCTGGTTTTTGCCATTATTGCTAGCTCTATTCAGGTGTATTATATACTCCGGAAACAGTGCTATTGTCAAGAATTGCGGCAATCTCCGCAAAAGCTACCTACCACAAAAGCGTATACTGGAATAATTTACTTTTTTCTTTTTACCTGGAGTGATACTAGTGTAATTCCAATATGGTTTTCTTTCTCGTTGTTCAAAGCAAGTCACAATATATCACATGAAATCTCTCTGGGACATAGGTTGATTGCTTTTGTCCTCTGCTTTCTAGCCACTGACTTCTGTCATCAGTTAAAATAGCTAAGAGCTGGATTTGTCGGTCTGAAGCCTTACTAGGATTATTCAGCTTTATAACCTGAATATGTGCCAATCTATAAGCTGGATAAGGTATTTTGTTACTGTATTCGCGCCATTAGGTTCGTTCATAACCTCGGGGTAGTTGCAATAAAGCGATAAAGAACCCAGTAGTAATCACTCCATGATCTTACCGATCGTTTCATTGCACAGTGGCTTAAGTAAGGTATGGAGAGATGAACTACTCCTGTACTAGTAGCTCCTGATATTGTTGATACCAATGATAATAGTTTCTGGCAGTCATTTACTTACATCTCCCATATCCATATCGATAACCAACCATCTCTTGCCGGAATGCTCAGGTGACTGAACAGAGATATTATTTATAAAATCGAGATGTTCCGATGTCCTCTGTCTCTTGAAGAAGACTGCTTCTGATACAATATAATGCTTGAAGCTTTCTGACAGAGCTAGCAGACCTGTATCGTATGCCAATGTTCTTTTCTGTATGAAAAGACATACCCTCTGAATCATTCGACTGCATGATGCCCTTTTATTTTGCATCTTCTGCACGTAATTCTCGTACGCTCGATAATATTACGGTCTCTTTTACAGTAGACACAAGTCCTGTTTTCAGGGCAGTATTTGCTGATGTGAACTAAAGACTTGCAGTATTGACATGCTCGCTCTGGGTTATAGGACATGACCTGAGCCAGTGTGGACTATATTATAGGTGGAAGTAGGAACTGAAAAAGAGTTGGTTGCTCTTGAGGGGGGAGTTGAGCCATTTTATATAAAAGACTTGATGTAAATTGTCGAATCAGGAATACAACCCTTCAATCAAGCCTGTGAAGGCATCTTTGTGCTTAGGGAAGAGGCGCAACATTGAAGGGGGCAATAGTATTCAATGATTGCAGGGTGATGAGAGGCGAACTTTAGAAAGACTCAAATGAAGGGAAGGACAACTAGTAGTGTCTACAGCAGGGGAATCAAGCTACTTTATATAGTATCTTAGTGATCATTGTTGTATCCGGTTAATTCGTTCTCTCTTTCTTAGTGCCTGTTGCTAATTCTCTCTGTTCTATATGCCCCTTTGGGTTCTTTCTTCTACTAACCTACCGGCAAGTTCCGCTCGATTAATAGGTCCACAGCGGGTGTCGTCTACATATTGACATCATTGACAAATCCACTAGCTTCTACTCTCAAAGGGCATATATAATTCTGCTTATTGCCGGAACGGGCCTGGCAGTTATTTGAAATAGTACTCCTTGCAAATCAGTGCATTTACATTCACCACCTCTTCATTGGTTTCTATTATGTACTAATCCAGACACAAGAACCACAACCCACAGCCTTAAAATTAGCTATTGGTTGGTTAGTAAATTGTCGAAGCCGAATACTCATAAGTCCTACGCGCTACCGATTGCGCCACAAGGGCCACTTGTGTATGAGTTGTCTCCGAGATGAGAAGCCATCAGGGTCGCTGCGACATGCAGTGCGCATGATTTCTCCCGCCTTTCTCTTGAACAGAGAATGCCTTTAGCGTGACTAAGTTTTGTTCAGCCAACAATGTTGTTTGTTATTTTGATTATTTTCATTTCCTATTCTGCTTACTGCAGACTTTTGAACTATAATACAACCCTAAGAGCGAGAGAGCCGCACAGCTAGCCTCTTATTAAACGGATCTTGATCATTTAGAAACAATCTTCAGACTATCCCCAACCTGGGCTTTGAGTACATCACAATCACCCGGTTTGGATGTGGCAATCGGCGAAGCTAATTCTTGCTCCATCATTCGAGCCAGCTCATCATCGTCCTCCTCCACCCGATCGTCTGACGCAATCTCGCAGGGGCCCCTTGCTGGTACGTGGTTGTCCCGGCTCCGCTCGGAGTCGTGAGGCCCACCCGCGGGTTTTAGAGATCCTTGTCGAGGCGCTGGGGTTACACTGATGCGGAAGTTCTGATTGCCGACGTCTCCGTCCGCATCACCAAGCCAACTGTATTTTTTGTTCCGCAGTGATTGAAGCATCTCCACACGTCGTTGGCGCTCCTCCTGTTCTTCTGGGGTTGGATTCGCTACAGCTGACCCGTCATCGCCTGTTTCTTCGGTCAGGTCGATTGTGATAGGCTCCCCAGCAGATGCATTTGGTGTAGAAGCCATGGATTGTGACTGTGAGGTCGACGGTTGTACCGAGGTTGCGTTCGAGCTAGCCTGGCGTGCCCGGGGAGGTTTGTAACCAGTTGGAATCGGGGCAACTACGGGCATTTGCTTCTGAACTTGGATCTCATATAGTAGATTGTTGTAGATCGTGCCGAGATCATGAAGCTTGTTCTTCCACTCGATAGCCTCTTGCTTGTACTGCTCGACTCTTTGTTGATGCCGGGAGCACACACGTCGCAGCATGGCATTCTGCTCAAGTAATGTCTGTTGTTTTGTTTTACCCGTCGCCGGGTCCAGGGCTGTCAGGTCCGACGCCAATGCCCACTCTTGTTTATACTTGTTGCGCTCCAGCGTCAGCTGTTGTACTTTATTCCGCAGAGTCGCAAGGCGCAAGTTTGTCCGATCATCCGAAACTTCAATGCACCTGACATGGATATTCGGAGCTGACGGCATATATCCCAATGGGCCCCCATAAACTGGATACGGCGAGACGTACTCTGGCTCGGCAAACACTCGCTGCAGAACTTCACGGTTCGTACTGTTGACGATGTCTTGATGATCAAGAGAGAACCGTTCCTTGGTAATCTCGCTGACGGAGGGCAGATTGAAGGATTGGTCAAACACACTAAAATTCGCTGACATGTCTTCCTTGCTTCCTTCTCCATTACCCGAGCCCTGGATGTCAAAGTTGAAAGACACCTCGCCATCAGGGATGTCCAATGGAAAATCGCCCGAAGGGTCTTCGAACAGAAGGTCTATAGAGTCGAAGACGGCATCGGACTGTCGTTTCTCAACATCGCTTGGCGTATGGGGGCCCGTGCCCCCTTGTTCAGGTTGTCCAGAATCAAGTGATAATAACGAGGGTGTTTTATCCGGAGACTCTGTGGTTGAATATTGTGATATCTCTGTGGCTTGCCTTTTTCTAGATTGGTCCCAGGAGACACAGTCTTCAGGGAACGCCTCGTCGCCATTTCGCTTCCGCTGCAAGACTGCATCAATCTCCTGCAAAACGAGTTCAGAATCGAAGAGAGGGTCGTACAACTCCTCCGTGGCGTTATTGGGTTCATCAAATGCCGAAAAGTCTATCTCTAATTGTGGAGAACATGTCGCGGTATCTGCCCACGACTGTCGGGACTCGACCACCTTGTCGGCTGGAGATTGTTCTTCTGAGGATGTATCATTGACTTCCACCTGCTTCTCATCGTTGTGATCTTTGTGGGTATTTCCGAGCGGTTGTGTGCAGTGTCGCGGATCGGCTGGGGTTTCTGACGTTGCGTTCACATCTCTGGTCGGCAGTTTCCGTGCTTCATGTTGGGAGGACTTGGTGGAGAGCTGCAGCTGGGACCCAGGGGGAGGTGTAAGCCCCAGATCATTCACGTGCAGAGGTAGTGATGGGGGAGATGGAAGGCCCTCAAGATCATGAAGACCATGGGGGTCTGGAGGACAGGTCTGGAAAGAGGTAGAAATACCTTCAGCCATGCTTCCATTCATCCCAGCGACAAATTCAGGCCCAGTTCAAAGACGGCCAAATGAATGTGTACCGTGCTATGCCGTTCAATATATCCTAAGGAAGGTGGCGATGGCACTTAGGAGATGAAGCACTCCATCTACTCATAGCCCAGCTCTGCAGATGGTAAGAATGAGGATATCCCTCGCTTCGAGACTGCTATGAAGCGTACCTCTTGAGAGCAAGTATTCAGATCCCAAAACGACTGTGATTTAAGACTTGTCCCGCGGGAAAGATGTATGGGAAGTAGATAACAGGGAGAGCCAGCAGGTGCCTCGATAAATAGCCTGTCAGCAGGCTCAGGCTAGCCACTGGATACGCGCCCTATTGCATAATCCGGTTTGAGTGCAACAACTGTACAGTTTGGCCGATGTTGGGAGAAATCGAAATACCACACGTGTCCAGGGTGCTCGATATAATCCCCGAACGAGTGAGAATGACCAGAAAAGGCCAGGTCTGGACAGTCACGCAGAAGTAAAGAAGCAAAGAAGTACATCGCAG